TCTGCTCCACGGTCAGGTGCGAGAGGTTCCCAACGAGCCATAGCGCGCGCTTGCAATCTCTCTTGACCCGTTCCCTCATGTCCTTCTGCCACTCGCCGTTTGCCCATCCGGTTCGCAGCTCGGTCCCGAGATACTTGTACGTCTCGTCCTCCACTAGCTGAGGGATTATTGTCCCGTCTGGCATCTTCATCTCGTACCCCGTCACGTCCACTTCCGTCCCCTCCTTCCAGTAGGTCGCGGACCATGCAGACTTCTTCTTCTTTTTCACCTGTAGGCTGTTTCCGCATATTTTGGTGACCAGCCAGGCGCACTCGAGCGCGAGCTGCATCGTGGCTATATCGTTACTCAACAGCAGGCAGTCGTCTGCGTATACTAACTGCGGCACGCTCTCCCCTGCCGCAGTGAACTCGAACCCCTGGCATAATTTGCTCACTGCTCGCTGCATCACCGCGAGCATGAGCTTACTCCGTGTAGGCGAGAGCAGGCAGCCCTGGCCTAATCCCTGTTCAATATCAAACCTCGGGCTGAGCCCATAGCCCGTCTCATATCTGCCTGTTAGCCCTGGCAGGTCGCCGAGCCCTTCCCTCAGTGCCTTTAGCACTCTCGTGACGTCTGCTGGCACACCGGCCCACTCCTCCACTCTCCATTGCACCTCATTCACGACGCTCATGAAGTACGTGCCTAAGTCTATGTATCCTCTCACACACATCTTCCTTTCTATCATGCACTCCTCCGCGTGCAGCCTTGCCGTTAGCGTCTGCGCAGGTGCATTCATCCCCTTGGTGAAGCCGCTCTGCGAGCCCGGTACCGTGTGTGCTGCCGCTCTGTCGTATTCTGGCAGTAGCATGCGCATCAGCCCCTTCATAGATTGTGGTTGTACCCAAAGGTCCCGCCTCCTCTCGAGCTCCTTCGGATCCTCCCCCGGCTTCATTGCCATCATAGCAATCCAGTCGTTCCACACTTTGGGATACTGCTCCTCCCGCACAATCTCCTGCAGCAGCCTCCAGTACTCCCTCTGCACTCCCCTCGGCGAAAGTCGGATCAGGTACCCGTCTAGTTTGTCGCTGCCTATGGCCTTTCCTTTCTTGAATTTCCTGATCGCCGCCTCGCACGCCGACCACGTCAACGCGTTAGCCACGAGCCGTCCCGTCCCCTCCACCCCCGGGGGCTGGGCCTCCGCCCTGGCTGGTTTTGTCATTGCTAGGAGCGCCTCGACCGCCACCATGTCCGCCTCCCTCCGCGCGTTGATCTCCTTCCCCCTCCTCGCCGCGGCGTCGCGGACTTCGTCCCCTCGCACCACGTGTCTTTGCCAGACCTGCTCTCCCGTCGTCTGGCAGGTTACCCACTCACCTCCCTCATACATCGCAACCAGCTCCCCCCCGCCCGCTCTTCTGCCCATCTCCTTGTTCAGAATCTCGAAGACTCTCCTGGCATTGTTGCCGCTATTCTCTGTCGCAACCTCCTGCATCACCTCTGTGAGTTTCTCCCCCCCCGTCCGCGGGCACAGGAGGAACTCCTGTTCAGCGTCGCGTCGTTCGCGCTCACAGACCGCCAATGCCCTCGCGCGCCTTTCTCTATTCGCCAGCTGCGGCTGAGCCTCGAGGGCCTTCCAGAGCTGCGCCAGGTTTGGCTCCCTCCAAAAGCCCTCTCCCTCCCATTCCCTCCTATATCCGTCGCTCATTGTGCCGCTCCATTTCTTGACCTCGTGCCGTATCCTGAACCACTTCGCCACTTTCCATCGCAGCCTCTCTCTCTTGGACTTAGGTGGCGGCCCTCGGCCACCCGCCCCCTCGCTTGCCTCCCCGCCTCCCGCGGGCCGCTCCTCTCCGCCCGCTTCGTCATCGCCCTTTGCCCTCCTGGTCGCGACCACCGCCCTAGCGTGTCGCGTGAGCACCCTCGTCAGCCTCTCGAGCCGTTCTGAGGCGCTCAGCTCCTTCTCCGCATCGGCCTCCACCTCGTCATCGAACACCTCCTGTACCGTCTTTGTGAATTTCTCCTCCACCTCCCGATCCATGAATGTGCTCACCCCCCGCTCCCGAAACTCGCGAGGCCCTCCCACACCACCCACTCCTCCAAAGAATTCCACCGCCACCGCCCTGTGGTCGTCACCGCACACCCCCGGCATTGTGCTCGTGCGCCCCATACATGACGCGAGCCCAGTTGTGACCACCCAATTGTCAATCTGCGTCCCTGCTCGGTAGGTGGCTTCGTCCGCCATGGTCAGCAGCTCTCGGCCTCCATCCCCCAGCATCTGCTGGAACAGCCTGTCCGCCAGGGTCGCCCTCTGTGCGCCCCTTTCCCGCAGCGCCTCCTCCGTCTCTGCGTTGAAGTCCCCCCCGATCATGTATTCTCCCCTCGTGGCATCTAGCGCCTCTGTTAGCTTCTCCCACGTCGGTCTCACCACCGTCGCCGTCCTCTGTCTCACCGGCATGTAGACCCCAAACTGCGTCCACTTCCTGCAGCTGGCCACTTCCTCTACCTCGACGCTCACTATTCTCCCCTCCTCAACTTCGGTCGCCACCGCTCTCCCTTCGGTGTCCCTATTCTCTACTCGGATGTGGGTGGGGTCCCACACGATCAGGACCCCGGTATGCATCTCCCCCGATATGTGGTCGCACCACCCTGGCGTGCCGCACCCGTCCAACCCTCTGGTCTGTAGCAGCGCTATCGCCTCTGTCAGCTCTTGCCTAGTCTGTTTGGTGTCTGCGAGGGTGGCGATGGTCACACACCCCTGCTTGATGATCCCTATCACATCTTCTAGCTTCTCTGTCGTGTCATTCCCTGTATCTCTCACCCGACTCGCGCCCCCTGTCCCCCCTCGCAGCTCCTTGATCTCCTCCATCGTCTCACCCCGCCTTTCCAGGGTAGAGAGGTGTCCGTTTTTATTTATTTATTTAACAACAATAGCGAGAGACTATGACACGGGGTGGGTTAGGGTGGTTTAGCACCCCCTAACCCAGGGCGGTTTAGCGCCGTTTAGCCTAGACGGTCACTAAACACGACTAAACGATCCTAAACCGCCTCGACAAATGGTCTGCCTGGCCGGGGAGCTCCGTTAATAAGCACTAAACCGCCCTAAACCGGCCAAACTCGCCTCTTGAAGACTCAACCGAGACGCGACCCGGGGTGGGTCGACGCCTGATGCTTGTGAGATGTCGCGAGTCTACGGTGCGAGGCCGCCTGTGACCTGGAGTTCGCGGATGCGGCGGTGGCGGAGGTTGCAGAGTCGATCGTAGACCGACTTGACCGTCCATGTTGCTGCGCCGAGGTCCACGCGAGTCTCTTGCACAGCGATCATCAAGAGGCGTTCAGCAAACATCCGGCGCAGCCGCGGCTCGGTCGCCATGAATACCTCAATGTTACCATCGATGTACCTCTTGCCCTTGTTGGTAAACATGACGCGCCCTCGCGTCCTTGCCTGCCGCGCCGCCTCGTGTGCACCAGCGCAGCGCAGCGCAGTGTGCGACCAGGGCCGGTGGTAGACAGTGGACGTGGCGAGGCTGCTCTCTGAGCAGTGAACCCAAGCCAAGACGCAAGAGCATCATGAGTGTAATCTGGGTCATTTGTATCACAATATCACCACACCGCCACGCGCTCGCAAGACGCAAGACCGCCTATATAAGCGCCTAAGCCCCCCCCGGCGCTTAGGCCACTTAGGCGCTTAGGCGAGTGACGGCCGGCACCCCGGGGCCTGGCGTGCCTCCGCCGTGGGCTGACACCTGGGAGAGCCAGGTGCGCGTCACCGCGCGTGCAAACCGACTCTCTCTCGGCTTGATCTATAAACTCAAAACTGTCACACTCCTCCGTCGCCCACGCCGGCCCCCTCCCGCGCTCTCCTCCTCTCCCGCTTCCGCTCCGCCTTGCGCTCGGCCTTTCGCTCCGCTTTGCGCTTCGCTTTGCGCTCCGCCGTTGGGCTGTTGGCGGCCTCGCCCTCCCCCGCCTTTGTCTCCGCTCCCCCCTCACGACCGGCGCTCGGCGCGCCCGCGCCATCGCCATCGCCCGCCGCCGCACTCTCGAGCGGGTGAACGTGCCGAAATGCGGCGGCGCTCACGCTGAACAGCCGCAGCTCCGACGTGCTACTTGAGCCGCTCCGTCTGCGGCTCGGCTGAGGCGGCTCCCAGACACCAGGCTGCACCGCGGTCTCGAAGGTGCGCTCGAGCAGCGCCTGCAGCCGGTTCTGGCTGTGCTTCTCGAAGCCCGTCTGCGGCGTGCAGCCGGTGTCGGCAGCCCGCTCCGCCTGCCGCGCCTGCCGCGCCTCCGCCCGAGCGCTCTCCGCCTGGCGCAGCTCGTCGCCGGTGACAACGCACGAGAGGAGCGCCTCGCGCTGCCGGCGCTCCTCCTCGTCCTCCTCGGAGTCGGAGGTGCTGGACGCGAGGGCCGGCATGGGGCACACACGACGAAAGTCACGTATGCCGCCTTGGCCAGGGAGGAGGGCTGAAAGAGAACTTACAACTGAAAGAGAAAGTCCAAACATATCACATGACAAGCGATCCCACGACAGCGATTGTGGGGACTACATGATCCGTACGTTAAGGGACCGTTAAGGTTGGAGGCGAAAAAAATATCGCTGTCCCATCTCCTCATCTCTTTCCCGCCTGGGCGGCCGGTGGGCGGGGCAGCGGGTGGGCGCGCGGTTCGGCGTGGCGTGTGAGTGTGTGCGACTGCAACGACGGACCGCTCAAGGGACCATTGGGTTTGTACTATTAACAACGAAGGCGCTCTCAGAAAAAAAAATGCTAAAAAATCGGGCTGTCCACGAGTCGACGATGAAGGCAAAGCGCAGCGCGCAGGCGGCGGAGGTGCGGTCGCGAGAGGAGGCAACGGCCGAGGCGACTGCGGGTGGCAGCTCGCTGGCCGAGGAGCTCGAATTTGAGGACGAATTTGAGGACGAATTTGAGGAGGAGGATGTGGTCGACGGGGCGGGAGAGGAGGCGGCAGAGATGGAGGAGGCGGAGCTGGAGGCAGCGGCCGCGGGCGGCGGCGGCTCCTCCTCAGCGGACATGCCCGACGACGGCCTCAACCCCTCCATTGGGGGCCGCTTCTACCGCGCGGGCGATGCCATCGAGGAGGGCGAGGAGCTTCGCGTGGATGCGGTGCCCGTTCCGAGATCTCTGCAGACACATCCCTGACACGCCTGCCTACCTGCTGGCCAGCAGCAAGCTCTCCGCACCGCTGCCTCTGGGACGGTTCCCGGACGCGCGCCGCACAGCCCTAACCCGCATGCCCGCGGCCGGCAGTCAGCGTACGACATGCTGCACCGCGCTCGCCTCGAGTGGCCTTGCCTCTCCTTCGCGGTGGTGCCGGACGCGCTGGGCGAGGACCGCGCCGCGTTCCCGCACACGGCCTACTTTGTCGCCGGGACGCAGGCCGAGGCCCGCGGCCAGAATCGGCTCCTCTGCCTCAAGATGAGCGCGATGCACCGGACAAAGCACGACGACGAGTCTGGTGCGCAGACGCACGCGACACCTCCCTGCACGCCCCACACGCCGTGGCAGACACGCCGTCGCAGACACTTGCGACACGTTCCGAAGCACTTGCGAGACGCCTCCGGCGCACGCTCGAACCACGTGTCGAGAATCTGCCGACCGCCTGGTCGCTGCCTGCTAGAGAATTCCCAGGCAACGCCATGCCGTCGCCAGCACTCGCCCGACCTCGCCAGTCCTCGCCCGCCTTGCCACCGCCTCCGGCGCCGCCCTCGCCTCCCAACCCCCCTCCTCGACCCGCAGACCCCGAGTCGGACGACGAGGAGGGCGCGGACGAGGACGCTCTCCTCGAGTGCCAGACGATCGCCCACCCAGGCTGCGTGAACCGCCTCAAGCTCATGCCGCAGGCGCCTCGCAGCCGCCTCGCTTGCCGCCTCTCTCCTCCCTGCAACCTCTCTCCTCCCTGCCACCCCTCTCCCCCCTCCCTCCCTCCTCCCCCCTCCCTCCCCCCTTCCTCCCTCCTCCCTCCTCCCCCCTCCCTCCCCTCTCCTCCTTGCTTGCCTCGCCAAGGCCTCGATGAGACGCTTGCACACACCCGTCGGTGTCGCCTACCCCCAGCCCTAGCCAGCCGCCGCCGGAGGAGCACGCCTCGCCGACCCGTGTCCGGACTCCTCCCCGACAGGCGCCCCACGTGTGCGCCACGTGGTGCGAAGACACCTCCGTCCGGCTGTGGGACCTCTCCCACCAGCTGGGGAACCTGCACGCGCCGGGCAAGGGCGGCGGCGGCGCTTCTGCGCGCGGGGAGCCGCTAAAGACGTTCGGCGGGCACGGCGACGAGGGGTACGCGGCCAAGAGGGTCGGCGGTTGCGTGAGGTGGGAGGTGCGCCTGCCCAGAGCGGCGGGTCGCGAGTAGGTACGCGCTAGACTGGTCGCCGGTCGCGTCTGGGGCGCTCGCGTCGGCAGACTGCGCGGGCAAGATCCATGCGTGGCGCGGCTCGGCCGGCGGCGGGTGGGCGGTGGACGCGGCGCCGTACGAGGGTCACGTGGGGTCGGTCGAGGACGTGCAGTGGTCGCCCGTCGAGGCGGGCGTCTTCATGTCGTGCGGCGTAGACTCGAGCGTCCGCGTGTGGGACGTGCGGCGCAAGGGCGCGCCGAGACACTTCCGAGACACTTCCGAGACACTTCCGAGACAGTTGGGAGTTGGGAGACACTTCCTGCCACCCACCGCCAGATTCCTCCGGCCTCCACAGCCAGCCACCGTCGCTGCCCGACGCCGCTGGCTTCCCCTACCGCCCCACCCACGCCCACGGCACGCCAGCGACGCGCTCGCGACACGTCCGCAGGCGCGTCGGCGATCACAGTTGACGAGCAGCACGGCGCTGACGTCAACGTCATCTCGTGGAGCAAGCAGGTCAACTACCTGGTTGTGTCTGGCGCCGACGACGGCTCCTTCCGGGTGGCGGCCCCGCCGTCGCCCCGCGCGCGTGCGACACGCACGCAGCCGCTCACACACACCCGCACCATCCTCCCTTCTTCGTGGCGCGAGCCCCACGGGCGCTTGCTGTTACGAGTGGCGCCTCCTCCTCCCCGCCCCTTCCCTCAGGTCTGGGACTTGCGTTCGATTCGCTCGGGGGAGCCGGTTGCGCTCTTCACGTGGCACCGCGGCCCAATCACCTCCGTCGAGTGGTCGCCACACGAGTCGTCGACTATCGCCGTCGCCGGCGCGGACGACCAGGCACCACCGACAGAAGACTTCCGCACCGCGCCTTGCTGCACACGCCCAAAAGCCGCCGCCGCCGCCGCCCGCCGCCGCCGCCCGCCGCCGCCGCTTGCCGCCCGCCGATTGTTCTCCTCAGCGGCCGCCTCGCTGCCGACCAGGTCACGCTCTGGGATCTGGCGCTCGAGGACGACCCCGAGGCCGACTCGGCGGCGCGCGGGCGTGACGACTTGCGTGACCTGCCGCCGCAGCTGTACTTTGTGCACCAAGGCCAACGCGACATGAAGGAGGCGCGCTGGCGGACGCACGCACGCCACCTCTCCCCGTCATCTCCCTGCCCTCCGCAGACGCCGTACCACTCTCGCCGCCCGACCCCTCGCGGCTGGTCTCGCCGCCGCCGCCCCCTCCTCCCCAATCGCCGCTCGCCCCCTGCCGCTGCCAGGTCCACTGGCATCCGCAGATCCCGGGCGCCCTTGCCTGCACGGCTGCCGACTCCTTCCATGTCTTCAAACCGGCCAACTTTGGCGACGGCCAAAAGTAGCGGAGTGCTGTCTCGCACGCTACAGACGGGAGAGTATATACACTTCCTACTTATGACACACGCGTTCATACGCATAGCGGACAGCGCGCATTGCGGTGCGGTGTGCGGTGGCGGGTGCCGCAGCCGCGGACACCACAGCCGTTCCGATGCTCGTGTGTTTTCCACAAAAACTGATATTTCGACACTTGCGACTTGGATCACGTTCACGACCCCCCTGGCCGCGCGGCCTGCCCCACCTGCGCGCCCCCCGTGCAGCTCCCCCACGTTCAGATTTCAGTCACACGTGTCTCTTAGTTTTCGGTGATGTTTCAGTCCCCCGCCTGCACGCTCTCAGGCACCACACGACCGCCCGCAGTGCGCCGTGCCAGCCCAAGGCCACACCCCCGCCTTTCGCAATCAGTGACGTCCGCTCTGCGATGCATCAGGGGCATGCACCCGGGTGGATGAGGTGCGGGGCCACCAGCCCTCACCACCACACCACACCACTACCATGCTAGAACGACTCGCTGTGGAACCGGAAGCCCGCGCCGGCCCTGCTGCACTCCGCCTCAACCTCTGCCGCAAGGGCCGCGCCCCCGCATACAAAGACGCCCACCTCCTCGCCGCCCCCCTCCGGCTGCTGTCCGGCAAGGCTGGCCAGGAGGAGGGGCCAGCTCGGCCGCTCGCGCGCCACCGCGATGCCAGTTCGCGCGCGGAACGCGGCCGCCGCCGCATCGGCGCCCGCCCGCCCCCCCGTGAGGTGGACGGCGAGGTGCACTCTGCCGCGGAGCGAGTACACCTCGTCGCCGAGCCAGTCGAGCCAGGCGGGCTCTCGCGTGGTCCACACAAGGTGGCACTGCGCCAGGGCGGGGCCACTGCTGCCCGCGCCGCGCCGGGACGGGTCCTCCTCCTCCGCCGCCGCCGCCGCCGCCGCCACCTCCCCCGCCTCCTCGTCCGCTAGCCTGTCCGTGGTGCGGGCGAGCGTGCGAAGGACCGAGAGGGAGGGGGTGACGCCGACGCCGGCCGAGACGAGGACGACGCGGCGGTAGTTGCGGTACCGCTGCGCTGGCGCGCCATACGGCCCGTCGATCCTCACGCTCCTCAGGTCGCCGCGGAGGGCGAGGCCCCTCAGCGCGTCGGTCCAGTCCCCCACGCCGCGCACCTTGAGTCGGAGCCGCGGCTCGCCTGGCGCGCTTGCGATGGTGAAGGGGTGCCTACGTCATGAGCGCACCGACGTCAGGCCGTGAGCATGTGTCCGAGTCCTGGGCACACGGCTCGAAAGAAGAAGAGAAGAAGCAAGTGTGAAGAGAGAGTGAAGGTGTCGAGAGGCTTGGTCCGGAGTCACGGGGCTGTACCTAGGTGCTCCACATCTAGGAGGGGCGCTCCACTCGTGCCGCGCGATCGCGGCCACGTTGAGCTTGAGGTACTGCCCCGCCACGAAGGAGAAGGCGGCGGGCGGGGCGAGCTCAATGCTCACCGCGCCTCCGCCGTCGCAATCGGCGCGCGCGACGGCCACCTAGGCGGAGAACGCGCCGACATGACACGAAATGCGATAGGTTTGCGCGTGGTGGCCACGAGCGCCGCGGCTGGGCTAGGAATCCTTATTGGAGAGGAGGAGAGGCGGGGTTGGGCGAGGAGGGGCGAGGAGGGTTGGGTGAGGCGGGGTTGGGCGAGGAGGGGCGAGGAGAGGTGGGGTGTGTGTGGAGGGGGAAGAGGCGAGGTAGGAGAGGTGGGGTGAGGAGAGGCGAGGAGAGGAGCGGTGGGTGTGAGGTGGGGTGAGGTGAGGTCGGGTGGCGAGAGGCGCTACGGCCACCTCTCGCCCGACGGAGCGTCGGGCGCGCTCGAGCAGGTAGACGCCGAGCGGCAGGCCGACCCACGACAGCGCCTGCGACGGCTCGAGCCACGCGGTGCGGCCGTGGAGGACGAGGAGCAGGGTCCAGAGCAGGAGCAGCTGGTGCGACCACCAGAACCGGTTGAAGTGCGCGCGCCGGACGGAGAGGCGCGCCAGCGGGTACGCGAGGAGCATGAGCAGTACCATCGCGTGGCCCGTCCACCCCTGAGGAAAGGAGGATTAGGAATCAATTACCAGCTGTCAATGAGCCCCAAAGAGTATCATGCCGCACCGGTCGGCTGAGCAGCACGTCGGCGTAGCGAGGCTGCGGCGGCAGACCGCTGCGCTGCCCGAGGACGGAGCCCTCCCAGACCGGTGTCGGGGCTGCCGAGTAGCGGAAGAAGTTGTAGACGTGCGCGAGCACGTGGCCGGCCGACGAGACGAGGAGCGCCGCTCCCGCCACCGCGTGCCCGCCCATCGCCGCGTCAAAGGGTACAACCCGCTCTAGGGCTGGGAAGGCGGCGCGCAGCCAAGTCGCCTGGTGGGGGGAGGGAGTGCGTCTAGAGTGTGAGACGCGCCGCGAGGCAAGTTAGTGCGGTGTGTCACCGAGCGGCGGCAAGCGGCGGCGAGGAGGAGGGCGGTGTTGAGCATCGCGCACTGCCCAAAGGCACGTGCGCAATTGACGCCGTGGCCCATCAGGCCAGTCGCGTCGGGCCGCCTCAGGTAGACGCGGAACTTGAAGACGAAGATGGCGGCGTTGGCGAACAGGAGCGCCGCCAGCCACGCGGAGGCGACGGAGCGGCGGCTCGCCCTCTGCTGTGTCTCGCGCGCCAGGGCTGCGGCCGCCTTGCTCGTCTGCGGCGCGGCGGCGGCGAGGAGGGCGCCCGCCATGGCCACCTCAGTCCGAGCGAGCGACTCGTGGAAGTCCACTGTTTGCGGCGCGGCAGGCGCGGGCAGCAGCGGGATGGGCCCCGTCGTGGGAAGCGGCGACGAGTCCACAGGAAGTGGCCGGGGCGCCTCGGGCTTGTCCGAAGGGCTCTCGGGAGGGAAGAGTGGGGGCGGCGGCGGCGAGGGCGAAGCGGACGGCGGCGGTGGGCTCGGCGGTGGGGGGGGCGGCGGGGACGGCGCGGGAGGTGGTGGAGGTGGCGGAGGATCAAGAGGAGGCGGCGGCGGCGAAGGAGGCGGTGGAGAGGGCGGCGGTGGAGAGGGCGGCGGCGGCGAGGGCGAAGCGGACGGCGGCGGTGGGCTCGGCGGTGGAGGGGACGGCGGGGGCGGCGCGGGAGGTGGTGGAGGTGGCGGAGGATCAGGAGGAGGCGGCGAGGGTGGTGGTGGAGACGGCGGCGGCGGGCTTGGCGGTTTTGGTGGAAGTGGCGAGGAATGAGGTGACAAGGATGTAGAGGTGGGCACAGTTGAGACGTTCGTGGTTTCGTTGGACCAACATGAACATGGGAACGACGTTGTATTGCCCGCTGAGCATAGCGCATTCGCGGCACGCGCGATCCGGTCACCAGTGAATATTTCCGGTGCGCCCGAGGTTGGCCTCTCACTTAAGTTTGTGCAGGGTAGGAAGCCAGTAGAGCTACAGATTGGACCTGACCATGCAATGAGCGTCGGGTGGGAATGCCGCATCATGCGACTCGGACCAAACCAGGGTTCCGGCTCCTTGACGTAGGGGACCTGATTGCAGCGAAGTGAGCACTTGAGCACTGGATAGGGCCGATTCCGCGTGGTACGGGACCCCTCGATCGTCTCGCCCTCCCTCACTGGTGTGTTCATCGGGGAACCTATTGCAGGACCCTTTTGGGCCAAGCAAGACCAACCTTCCTACCTATCTGGGAGGGCCAGCCAGTGGCAACAGACCCCTATCCGCGGCTAGGTACTTAGATGGCAGCCTGCTCAGTACGCCTTGGACAGTGACTTCTGCCTCGCTGCTCTTACTGCAGCCGCCTCCGGGGCCGGGCCGGCCGCCTCGCTTCGCCAGTGCTGTCTACGCCTGCGACACGCGTGTCGGCTCGCCGCCCGCGTCGCCCGCGGCGGGCCCGCATGGCGCGCCGCTCGTCGGGAGCGTTCCCAGCAGGCTGTGCAGGGCAGTCTGCCTCACTCAGGGCGCCGCCGCCGCTGCGCGGGGCCGCCACCGGCGCTGCTGCCGTGAACACTGCCGCCGTGTACGTCACCACCCCGCCTCTCTTCGTCGCCGATCTCGCCGACGCCGCTCGCCGCTCGCCGCCGCCCTGCCCTGCCCCGCCCACAGCCCTCGCACAAACACCCCCCCACACACATACACACAAAACACCTTGCCCCTGCCCTGCGCCTCACGCCTCGCATCCCACCCGCGCACGACCCGCGCCCACGCCCCCACGCCCCTCACCTCGCGCCTCACGCCTCCCTCCCCACCCTCTCAGGCATTTCTCCTCCCTGCTGCTCGCCGACTCCTCCTCCCCCCGCATGACCGACGACTACCCGTACTTCGGCGATCCTCCCTCTTCGGCGCCAATGTCTACTACCCGTTCGGCCCGGTGAGGGGCGGGAGAGCAGCCATTCCAACGGCTGCTCGGAAAGTTTCTGAACGGCCGTGCATGCGCCTGCATGCCGGCTTACTAAGGAGGTCCCTCGCTCCCGCTCCTCTCCCGGAAGACGCGCGCCGGCCCGGGTGACTCGCTTGCGAGGTAGATCCCGTTCCAGCCAGAGGCCGCGTGACCACCACAGGGACTGTCTGGCGCGGGAGGGGAGATCTAAGCCGAACTCGCCGGGCACGCCGGCGAGGTGACGGTAGATCACCTCTTGAGGATCACCTCCGCCAGACGATCTCTCCCGACGGGGACTGGTCTTAGGCCATTCCAACGGCCAGGCCGCTCGCTTAAGGCTGATTGGCTAGACGAGCGGTCTACCTCCAACGGGGCGGTCCGACAGCGCGTGGATCCGGCCCGCCCCTCGGGTTACGGTTTAGCGCGCCGACAGACCGCCCTCTCCACCACCCTCGCCCAGGGATCTACAACGCTGTCTCAAGGTCCGACAGGTTCGGCACCGCGCACCGCCTCGGTATACAAAATGCGCCTGCGGGCGGACCCTTACAGATCACAGATAACGTACATACACAGAATCGAGCAAGTCCACACCAAACTCGGCCATTCCAACGGCCAGACCGCTCGCTTAAGGCTGATTGGCTAGATGAGCGGTCTCCCTCCACGGGGCTGTTGGCACAGGGGGAGGTGTCAATCACGCTCCCGAGACGCCGGAGAGATCGATCGGTCGGTCGGGTTGGCCTCCCCCGCCCTCAGCCCTGACCCGACGGGGACACCACCGCCCTCGCCCAGGGATCTACAACGCTGTCTTAAGGTCCGACAGGTTCGGCACCGGGCACCGCCTCGGTATACAAAATGCGCCTGCGGGCGGACCCTTACAGATCACAGATCACAGAATCGACAATCGAATGCATCTAGAAAACCCCGGCTCTATGAGATCATGGAAAAAAGCATGAAATCTATATGAAGCGTGATTTCATACCGGATTTGTGATTTCACAACGCAAGATTCATGGGCATGATATCACACTCCGACCGTGAAATCACAGCTGGCTGGCGCGAGCGAGTGTCCCGTGTTCATAGCAGATACATGTCGGTCCGTTTGAGGCCTTCCGGTGGTCGAAGCGACCCGGAAGCCGCCGCCACAGGGGGCACCCACGCGCTAATAGCCCTACGGGGTAGTGAGCTGCGAGCAGGTGCGATACCGGGCCGCAATCATAGCGAGCCTGGCTGACGCTCTCGACGCAGAGGATCCGCTGTTCCGCCTGAACACTGGGGGGTCAGGGGGCGGATGCGCGCAGCATCGAGGTCGTGCAACGAGTCGAGCCATCGGATGTAGCACAGCTGCTCTGGCCCAAGGTAGCGCGCGATAAAGCAGAGAATGAGCTGGCCGTACCACAGCTTGCCCTGGCCATCGACATCCACAGCAACAAAGACAGGGGCCTCGCCGGTCGGCCGCACCTCTTGCCGCGTCTCATCCTGGCAGAGGGCGGCGTGTAGCTTCGAGCCGCCTCGCTCTGCTGCGCGGAAGTTGGCAGGCCATCGCTGCACTGCCACGCCCGGTCGAACCTCAAGTAGCGAAGAAGTGAGGCTGGGCATTCCACCGGGGAACGAGGCGTCGTCGCTGCCGCCGCCCGTGGCTTGATGCAAATACAAGGCCACGGAGAAGGGAAGCTGAAGGAGGGAAGGGTGGATGTTTTGCGCAGCCCCAAGGTCGATTCGGCACACCGTCTCTCGAACCCCCATCAGCCGGCTGGGTGGGCCAAGCTGCGGCGACGCGAGAGGCGGCGGAGGCGCAGGCGAGGCGTCGGCCCTCTCCGCAAGTTGCAGCAGCAGCTTGAGCAGGTCGGTCCGACTGACCACCGTCGTCATCTGCTCCTCGGCACCGTGAGGGCCACGGTGGTAGTTGGTGCGTCTCCACGGCTCCTTGGCATTGCTCTTGTTGAGGAGCTCGCCGTACGCGTCGTTGTAGTAGAGCAGGCTCCCTCGCCCGGTCGTCCAGTCGGCAAGGTGCGCACCGGCAGCGTGGAACTTAATGGAGTCCTCAAAGTGCTCCTTGCCAAAGAGGGAGATGGCCAGGTCCTGCCACTGCTCGTTCAAATCTGAAGCGTATCGCAGGCTCCCGTCAGTGTGAGCTCTGCGGTACATGAGCTCCAACCACTCAAAGTAGACGGTGAAGAGCTCGAGCAGCTGGGGGCAGCCGGGGGAGATGTCGACGAGGAGCAGTCGCCAGAAGCGGAGGATGTCTCTCAGCGTGTCGGCAGAGGCAATCTGGCCGAACTTGACAGTTCCCTCCCATGGGTCGAGTGGATTGATGTAGGCTCCGTACAGGTAATGCGAGATGCCTCGCGAAAATGCGCATTTGGTCATGTGCAGCGGGACGACGCGCGCCGTGATCCAGGCATCGATCTGCTTGCCCAACGCCTTGAAGTCACGGGAGGAGAGGCTGCTCTGCATCAGCTGGAAGGTGCACTCCATCAGCTTCTGGCCAGTGCCGTGCTCGCAAAAGTGCATCAGCGGGATGGCCGTGCCCTGGAAGACGTCCAGGCCCACCACCTCAAAGGCCGGGTTGGGATCAGGGTGGAGCCCGAGAGGCCGGGTGTGGTCCGCGCGCGCTGCCGCCGAGTGCGGGTGGAGAGCCCATGCCCGACCGATGTGCGCACGCTGGGTGGCGTTGCTCCGCAGGTCAAAGCTCTCGTGTGACCAGAACCCCGGCCCCTTCCTGGCGTAGCACATCCAGCACGCCTGGTTCTGCAGCGTCTGCGTCACCTGCGCAATCTTTGGGTAGTCGAGCGACAGCCCGAGCACCACGGGGTAGATGCGCTCAGCCTGGCCGTGCGCGCCAACAGCGGTGGTACCAACCAGGGAGATCATGCTCCTGTCTCGCATGCCACTGAACAAGTGTCGCATCTGCGCGCGAAACAGCAGCTTGCGCACAGTTGTCTTGCGCGCGTCAGACACCTCAAGCATGGCTCGGTCAGGCACCTTGGACAGGTACGAGAGGAGCATTCCATTGGAAGGCTGCCGGGCCTGCTCCAGTGGAAGAGCCAGGCTGGTGACGGACACGGGGCAAGCCGAGCGCTCGCCGTTCTTGGTGAGATTTGTATCGTCCCAGTACAGCTTGAGCGCAAAAGCGATGGCCGAGGGGTCCCGAGCCTGGATGGCGCCACAGAGCTCGAGCAGCACATCGCCCGAGTAGGGATCCGCGTAGACGCGGTCACCACTGCTGCGCTCGACGAGCCGCCGTGGGCGACAGTGCTCCGGCGTCACAAAGCGGAAGAGGAAGCGGGCCATCGCATCCAGCTTCCGATAGTGCATCACGACAGCGACCGGCGGCTCACCTGGCGTCAGCTCCACCTCGATGGTGACTGTGTGAAATCGAAGCCCGAGTTTGTCGAGCAAGCCATCCACCACCGCTCGCATCGGCGACAGTCCACGCCGTGCATCAATCAGCAGCGGTTGGAGCGACCCGACCGTGTCCTCCTGCTCGCGAGCGATGGCCGAGGGCGCGTCATGGTTGGAAGTGCCGATGAGCTCCTGGTGTGCATACCACCGGAACGTGCGCATATTGCCAAAGAGTGCGCCCAGCTGGATGTCAGCAAAGTACGGCGGCGGCAGAGGCGGACGCGGCGACACTCGCGGCTCGCCTGGCTTCCGCCGAGCTTCTCGGCGCTCGTGCTCACGCTGCGGCTGCTCCGCCTGCTGATCTGCGACGCGATGCGCGTCGCGATCGAGTACCGCGTGTGCTGCTGCGTCGAGGTCGCCAGGGTGTGCGTCGCGGATGTGCCACGAGAGCTGTGTGTAGCTACGGCAGACGCGGCCACAGTCGGAGCACACGAAACGCGCCAGTCTTCGGTTGTTGCGCGCTCGACCAGCTTCGCTGAGACAGAAAGAATTTCGTGCATGCCTTTGTTATTGCGAGGGAAGACGCATATTCCAAACCTGCAAACCACCTCGAGCGAGTTTATCGTTCCTCAGGGCAGCTCCATTCCTCCATTCACCGCGCGCTGAGGTCGGTTTATTCTCTTTCTCTCTCATGGATGAATGGCGTCTTGGTGTGCACGTTGTGTGCAGTGGTTAAGAGAAATTAGTTTATACACGACATGCTGCTGCCCCAAGCTGGCACCACCCAGAAAAGCATGTCTTGAAATGCGTCTGCAGCCTGCAAGCAGCCGTATTTATTCTCTCTCTCTCTCTCTCTCTCTCTCTCTCTTGAATGAAGAATGTTGCCGGCTTTTTTCGACAGCAAACTACTTCCCTGTACACCGAACACAAGAACACAACACCTAGCCGCGCGATTCGCGCATTCGAGGCGGGAGCGGCAAAGGAATCTTCGGTTCGCGCTCGAAATTCACGGACCATGATCCCACGGTCGCTTCTTCAACCGTCTCTCGGGCAGACTTCAACATGCCTCAGAAGCGCCAGCGCCGCGCTCCCCGTGTCAACACGACACCCGTCACCGACCAAGCTGGCAAGACAGAGGCCAAGACGCTCCAAGACCTCGTCAACCCGGAGCCGACTGCCGAGGCGCGCGCCTGCTTCGCAGCGACCGCCACGCCTGCGCTGCGCTCTGAACGCTTCTTCCGTGCCCCACACAGGTTGACGCGCGCAGCGAGAGCGGCTCCTCGGACACGTCGTCGTACGTGCCATCCGAGCTGAGCTCGGCCGACGGCCTCGGCGGCGACATCCTCTCCTCCGCCGAGGGCTCTGAGGACGGCATTTCTGACCCCGAGCTCGAGGGAGACGAGTACGAGGAGGCTGCGCGGGCCGAGGACTCCAACGGCGCGGACGACCCCAACCGCGAGTTCAACCAGGCGCTGCTCACGCAGGCGATCACCTCCCTGCCCAACAACATCGCGACCGCCCTCGTTTCGCAGCTCATCCCGGCGCTCGGCGGCGCCGCCGCCGCCGCTGCCGGCCCGGCCGGTGGCGGTGGCGGCGGTGGCGGCGGTGGCGGCGGTGGCGCTGCCGCGGCGGGCGCCTCCCCGTACTGGCAGCCTACTCCCGACCGGCGGACGTTTGCCGGCAAGCGCCACGTCGTCATGCACGCCATCAAGGTGTCGCCAAGATTGCCCGAGATTGCCCGAGATTTGCTTGAGATCGATCGAGATCGCCCGAGATCGCTCCATACAAACGCCTGAGGCGCCATGTCATTGTGCGCCCCATCCAGGTGTACGTGCTCGCCCACCTTGACGAGACCGTTGCCGGGCTCTCCCTCGACGACATCCTGCCGGGGGTCATCGCTGCGCTGCCGCTGCCCGACAACACCGGGTCCAAGGTGCTGCTCAAGACGCAGTTCAAGCAGAACCTCCGTGCGACGCTGCGCGAGGCGGAGTCGGAGCTCAACACCGACCTCCGCAACCAGTTGCTCCTCATCTACTCGGGCATCATCCACCGCGTCATGGTGCACGCCTCCAACGCCACTCTGCACGCGGCGGCCAAGGCGGAGCACGTGGCGCTGTTCGCTGGGCTGGTGGCAGCGCCGCCCGGCTTCAAGCTTGAGGGCGAGGACGAGTTCATGTTCGCCTTCCACGCCGCCGTCGACCCGCAGAACCACACGCTGCTGGCCTTCGCGCACAAGGAGTGGCCCGCGCTCATCCAGCAGTACCTCACCTTCCTCCCGTCGGGCCGCTCGCGCACCATCACGCTCAAGTTCGTGGCGTACACGGTGATGTCGCTGTGGCAGACGCTCACCTTCGTCCCAGACACCGAAGGTGCGTGCGCACCTTCTGCGGCGAGAGAAGTCGCCCACACCTCACCAGTTCTGTGATCTGTGCCTGTGCCTGTAGGCGTGCTGCAGTACGGCAAGCGCAACCGCGAGACAGGCTCTTCCGCGCGGTTCGAGAGGATCAAGGCGTGGCTGCTCGACGCCGACGCGTGCCCGACCAAGTGGGAGCCGCTGCTCCGCATCCGCGAGGCAGCGGCCTAGGCGGCTGTGCCAGCAGCCTTGCGCCAGGGCGCTGCCAGCGCGACTCATCGCGATCTGGGGCCGCTCAGGAGGCGCCGCCCCGGTGCGAGGCTTCCTCACGAGAGACTAGGCCTCTAGGAGCGAGAGGCAGCTACGAGCTGAGCCTTTCCGCCAGTGGTGCATTGCGCGCACCCGCGGATCTCGCGCCCAGTCTCTCTAGTTTCTCCCACTCTCTCTGCATGTCATGTCCCTCGCGCGCTATGAATGAGTGAGTGTGTGTGTGTGTGCACCGCTTGCGCGGCGCGGTGTACGCTCTCGCCTCATTTATCGAAGCATGTGGGACGAAATAAAATGCATGCTGCCTGTGGGGCTGGGGGGACCGTCGTGCTAGCCGCACGGGCGTGCCCCCCGGTGTGTGATTTCACAGCGCGACCATGAAATCATATGCTGTGAAATCAGGCGTGTGATTTTCATGAGAGAGGAGTTGTGATCTCACGGTTCCATGACTTCATGGCTAAAATCCATGATATCATGGAAGGGGGGAAATTCAGATGATGAGAATCGTCGCCGCAAAGACGGCCCAGCGACTCGCCTTCATTGCCGGCTCGCCTCACGGCCAGAACGTGCGGCCGTCAATGGGACATATGCAGCTAGCTCCTTTTGCGGTGCTGCTCTTCAGTCCTCCTGCAGTCTTGAGCCACCCATTCCTCTTGCTCTTCAGCCCACAGGCTGCGCCGCCGGCAATCCCCGAATCCCTCAATTCGGACAGCGGCGGCATCTCTGCTTGGAGCGGCCGCCCGAGGAGGAGGTAGTGATCTCCACATCCGTCCCCTGCTCCAGCTTGGCCATGAGGCGCCGCGGCGTCCTAGTGAACTCGAACTTGAGGTATCCGAAACCAATGCGCAATGGAAGCTGGGCCTGCTGGGGGGGATTCTCTCTGCTTGGTGGGGGATCACGACAGACTTGAAATACCGCTGAAAACTCCCTCTGAGGAGCGGCCTCGCGGGGCTTGCCTTGGCGTCTCAGAGGGTCCCCGTAGCCTCAGAGGCTGCGCCGAGAGAGAGAGGCTGGCTTGGCGGCACAGGCCTTCAGAGGGTCGGCCCAGGCACCCTCTGAGCCGCTCGTGGATGGCCTCTCTTGGCACAGAGGGTGCCCTCTGAGACGAGCAGATCTGGGCCCCCTTGCCTCAGACCCCCCCCCCTCTGATGCAACCCCCTAGTACGCGTTCGTATACCTTCAACACACCGGGAACGCGTTGGCCCCAGCACACACACCCTCTCTCCAAGACGTTGTCGTTCGCATTCTCGCTCGTGAGACCAGCACCTCACAGAGACCACTATCCCGCCACATATGCTGCACGGCGGCGACCTCCCGTCGCTTGCCGCCTCGCTCGCCCTCGCCGCCCTGCTCTCCGAGTCGCTCCTCGCCCAGCGGCGGCTGCGAGAGATGGCCGCATCGCCCGCGGCGCTGCTGCTGCTGCTCTCGGCCGCCGGCATGGCCACGCAGCACCTCGCCGCGGAGAGTGCCTGCGCGGCCTGGCTCAACCCGCTCGCAGCCCTCGACCTGCACCACTGGTCGGGTGGTGCGCTGCTCGCGCCGTGGCTTGGAGCGCTCGCGGCCGCTGTGTGGGCGGGCAGCCTCCACCCGACGCCGCTCGGCGCCGCGCGTGCCGTCGCCGTATCGGCGGGTGCACTGCTGCTCTGCGCGACGGGACGCCGCTGGGCGCCCCGCGCCCTGACGCCGCACACGGCGGCGCTTGTCTGGCTCCTCTCTGTCGCTCACCTGTTCGGATGCGCTCTCGACTGCAGCTGGCGCGGAGGGAGGTGCGCCCAGGCCTCTCGGCTGCACCTCGGCTGCACCTTGGCTGCACCTCGGCTGCACCTCGGCTGCACTAAGCGCGCCGCTATACCTCAGCCACACCTCGGCCCCAGCTTGCTCCTCCATCCTAAAGACTTCCCCTCACGAGCAGGCTCCGCCGACCGTCATGGCGCTCCGCCGCCGACTTTGCGCGACGGATCGCCGTCTCGCTTGCCTACGTCGCCCCTGCCGCCGTCCTCATCGTGCTCGCCTCGTCCGTGTGCCTCCTCGTAGCCTCCTCCCTGCTCAAGCTGGTGGGCCTGCGACCCGAGAGGCTGCGGCCTCTGGTGCTGTGGGGCGCGCTGCACTCCCCCTTCTGGATCGTGCATGTTGAGACGCGCCGCAGCTACGGCGGCCACGAGCGCGCCGTCGTGGGCGGGTACGGAGGCAGCAGGCCGCGTGGCTGGCGCGGCGCCGCCGCCACCACGCCGCCGCCGCTGCTCCCGCTCACGACGGCCGAGTGGGTGCTGCCTCGCGTTGGGTATGGCGCTTCTGGGCGGCGGGACGCGCGGAGGGAGGAGCCTGCCGCTGCGTGGCCATCTGCAACCCCGATGCGCGGGAGAGGTAAGGAGGAGGAAGAGGACGACGAGATGCCGCCGCTCGAGCCGATACCTTTGTAGTAGAAAGCATGGTTATGTCCTGGCGAGGTATTCCCAGATCCCACACGCCTCTCGCGTCTCGGACTCGCCTCTCGGGGGTTTTATGTATGTAAATAGTGAGACGATTTAGGTTTGGGGCAGAGCCGCGAGTGGGTCGTGGAGGGTCGTGGTACGTGTGGAGGGTCGTGGAGGGTCGTGGAGGTCGTGGAGTGGCGAGTCACGCTCAGGCGGACGTGTGCAAGTGTGCAATCAGCATCGACGCCGTCGCCGGACGCGGCGGCGAGGCAGCAGGCACACGGGCGCCGGCGTGGCGCGTCGGCAGGCCCACGAGCGGATGCGCGACGAGCGCGCTCGGGAAGCGGCCGCGGGCGACGCGGAGCTTCCGTCCGCCGGAGGACGACGCGTTCGAGATGGCGAGCGCCGTCCACGTGCTGTAAAAATCATTTTTAATTTTATCTGGTGGAATCAACCCTGCTGGGCGAGCCGAGCCTCGGCGGAGGGGGGGGGGGGGGGGGCGTGAGCTGCTACACCAGCGTGCAGCGGAATCGACCCTTCCAGTGCTCAAGTGCTCAAGCTCGTGCCTCGTGCAGCGAGGCTGGAAAGTTTGAGGAAAGCGGACGTCACCCGCACGGCAGCTCTGGCGGAAACGTTTCGCAATCGGCCTCGGCGCGCCCTCGCAGTACAACTCCGCACGGCAAGAGAGCCCCGCGTCCGCCGTTTCGTGCCATGTTCCACAAGGCGGACTGGACACAGCCACAGGTCGGAGGCCTCCTCTCGCAGCTTATTGTGCGCGAGGAGGCGAGGCTCCAGCGCGCCCCGGACCGAAACCACAAAGTGCGCGCCAACCACAGAGAACTGTCAATGCACGCACGTCAAGAGTCGTTTTTTAAGGAAAGGCGCGCCCTCGTTGCAGGTCCAACACATATGGGATTACCGGGTCATCGAATCGAGGCCCTCCTCCTGGAAGGCGCGGCTAAGAATGTCAAGCTGACGCACCCCACGAGGTGATCCGGTTCCAGCTTCCTTTTCATGTGATGTAATAGGACGTGCCGCAGGGCCGGCAGCATTCGTCGACCATTGACCTCTCCATCAATTCGGGAGACGCCGGCGTCGCTCCGCGTGCGACGCGCTCACAGATGATGCACCGGCGGAAAATGGACAACTGCTTCACGGCGCTCCAGCGGTCAGCGGCTGTGGATGGCGGCGGGGGGCGGCATGCGCTCACCCCGGAGGCCTACTCGTCGTTGCACCCCACATACACTTCGAGCGAGCGCTTTGCCACACGCACTTCGAGCGAGCTTATCGGCCTCGGCAACGATGCACTCGGCATCGGCGCGTCGAGGCACCTATTTTCTTTCATTCAGGGCCATTCGCACCGTACTACTCACAACAATCGCCCCGCTACAGATATGCAAGAGACAACACGACAAAGCAGATGTTCGCAACCACGCGCAACAATCCGGACCGATCGCTTGTCGAGGCGCGGAGGCATGAGCGCGATGCCGCGCCAGTTCCGAACCCACTCCTGCCCTGGGAGAGGGCAAACGTGCGGCAATCGGCAGAGAGCGAGGCGGACACGCAACCTTACCGCGCCAAGGATTCGGCCTTCTGCCGACGGCCAAACGACGAGCCGGTGCCGGGGTCGCAGAAATTATCTCGTCGAGCGGGCCACTTGTGACGCCAACTTACTAATGCGTAATGGCATTGGCCATTGGCATTGCGCATTGAGGACCCGCATTGGGGCGCTTTCATGCAGCCACACGGCACAGGCCCACAGAGACGGACGTGACATCCCCTGCGGAGCGAGCATGGGCTCAGCCCCTCGGACGTGCGTGAGACCGAGAGATAGCAGATAGAGATTACGGCTCTATACGGGGGAAGGACCGTGAGTTGACGGAAATCGGAGGACGCGACCCACTTCGCCACAGACGGTCCCGCGCCTCGCCGCTAAATTTGCGGCACGCCCCGCACCGTCCGCTGTGCAGCGGTCTTTGTCCGGAGTGAATACTCCAACGCGCTCGTCGGTGACGGTGTCCTCCAACCTGCGCCGCGCTCGGCGTAAGCCGTAACCTCGACAGCGCGCCTTCGGTGGCATGCATCTCTTTGCGACAGAAGCCTGGAGTGAAGCTCCTCTGCTGCTCACACACTCTGCACAGATGGCACAGCCCACTATACGGCTGCCACAGCTGTCACAGCGATGGGCTCGCCCTCACTGGCCCTCAGTCACTTGTGCTGCGGAGCTTTGTGTGAGCGACACTGCGTGGCGACTGCCGGCACACTGTGAGACCATTAAAACCACGCTACCAGCGCTTGGTCACATCATCCCTGAGGTCATATCCTTCTCCTCTGTTGATGGCAACACTTGTCTACTCGCTGGATCCGAGCAGGAGGGCTTGATGGCGCACAACCCCTGTGCTGTCGCGAACTCCCCCGCCGTCCCGGGGGGGGTCCTCTTCCCCTTTAGAGTTATACGGCGCGGAGGGACTGTGTGTGGAGTCGGACGCGGTCGAGCGCAACGATCTGGGGCCTGCCAACAAACAGGAAAGCTCTGCTTTGTGCGCGAGCGAGCTCTGTTTGTGTACACGACACTGACATAAGAGTGAGGCGCGGCCTGCCTCTCACCACGACTTGATGAGCGACCGCCACGCCTGAGTGAGCAAGAGAGCGCTATCCACGTCCAAGTCGGCTGGCGCGGCCGCCTTTGCGCTCCCCCACGCGCGCGTGTTGCGCTCGGCCCCCGCCACCTCTCGCGCCGCAGTCGAGGCGACGGCGCTGCGGCCTGATAGCGCGGCACCACGGCGTGACATGATGCCGTGGCGGAGACAATTGCTGTGGGCGTGCCAAGCTGCTATGAGCGTAGAGTGACTGCGATAGGGTAGCACACCACTCGCGAGGTCGAGCAGCCCGATCCAGTGCGCTGAGAAGACACGCGGCGTGCCCGCGGCCATCAGCGTGTAGCGGCAAGGCTGGACCGACCCCAAGACATGCGCCTGGCCCGAGATGAGCCGAGATGAGCCGAGATGAGCCGAGATGAGCCGAGATCAAGGGGGCTGACCCCAGGACGTGCGCCTGGCGCCGCAGCAGAATGTGAGAGAAAGGAAGAGGGCAGAGAGAGGGGGGGGGAGAGAGGGAGAGAGAGGGAGGGAGAGGGAGGGAGAGAGGGAGGGAGAGGGGGAGAGAGAGGGGGGGGGGGGGTGCGCGGGCCACGCCGCCCGCGCGCGGCGCGCTAGCACGCCTGCGAGAGCAGCGAGGTCGTCCCCCCCTCGAGGTTGCGCCACTGCAGCTGGAGCTCCTCGAGTCGCTGCAGCATCATGGAGAGCGCCTGCTCTTGCGACGTCGCGCTCGCCTATCGACGCGCCACGCCGGCCGTGTTGCGACCCCCGCGAGCGCTGCAGCGTCTCCCGCCATATCTCGCGCTGACCGCGGCCGCGGCGCCCGCCGGCCCGCCGTCGCCTGCCGCGGGTACCGCCACGACCTGCAGCTCGGTGAAGCCGTGCGTGAGGGCCGCCTGCGCCGCCTGCTGGCATGCGCCGCCGCGGGTGAGCCGTCGGTGGGAGGGGCGGGGCGGGGGCGGGGCGGGTTTTGCCAAGTCTCTCGGGGGCCGGCGGGGGAAGCGGCGGGCGTAAGAGGGGGGTGAGAGGGGCGTGAGAGTGGCGTGAGAGTGGCGGGGAGTGGACGAGCGAGCACGGGCGAGCGTCGTGTGCGAGAAATGAGGCAACGTCGCAACGTCGCCCGCCGCGCGCCTGCGCATACGCCTGCGCGGGAGAGCCGGACGGGCACGACAGCAGCAGCAGCGTGCGTGCTGGCAGCGGCGGCTCGTTCGCGCCGCTCGAGCGCCTGTCAGTGGACGTGTCGTGGACGTGTCGTGGACGTGTCGAGAGGCAGGAAGGCGAGGGGCAGGTAGGGGGGGGAGGAGGCGGCAGAGGAGAGGGGAAGCCGAGGGAGCGGGGAGCGGGGAGCGAGGCGGCGGCGGCAAAGAGGCGGCAGGACAGAGAGGGAGTGGTGTGCAGGACAGAGAGGGAGTGGTGTGCAGGACAGAGAGGGAGTGGTGTGCAGGACAGAGAGGGAGTGGTGTGCAGGACAGAGAGGGAGTGGTGTGCAGGACAGAGAGGGAGTGGTGTGCAGGACAGAGAGGGAGTGGTGTGCAGGACAGAGAGGGAGTGGTGTGCAGGACAGAGAGGGAGTGGTGTGCAGGACAGAGAGGGAGTGGTGTGCAGGCCGCCTCTCCGCATAAGCGAGCTCGCGCGGCGAAGCAGCCGCCGCATGAGCGCCGCCCTCGCACCCCCACGCAAACGAGGCGCGCCTGATGGCGGCGTGTCGGCACGCGTGAGGCGCCCGAGTCACGGCGGCCTCCGCCCCACTCCACCCCCCGCAACCCAAACACACGCGGCGTCACCTAGGGCCCCTTGCGTCGCCTCGTGCCTCCCCGTGCCTGCTGTCTGGCGTCTCTCTTCTAAGTCGCGCGCGTCGCTCCCCCCGAAGAGTAGCCGCCGCACAGCAGCAGCATGCCGCCGCTCGAAGCCATCGCCGCGCCCTCGCACGCGCCCGGCGGCGCCTCGTCGTGGGCGCTGTCCTCTCCGCCGCCGCCGCCGCCGCCGCCGCTCTCCGCGCGCTCGAGCTTGCTCCACCGCCAGCTGGTGTCGAGCACATGCAGGTCGTCGAAGCCCGTCGCAGAGTTGCCACCTCCGGAGCCGAGATCGAGATGAGCCGAGATCGAGATGAGCCGAGATCGTGATGCGACGAGATGCGCCGAGATGATCCGAGATGATCTGAGATTGTCGCCTCCGACGCGTTAAGACGCCGAGCTTGAGCCTCTGGGAAGTGTCTAGGAAGCGTCTAGGAAGTGTCGATGAGGTGTCGATGAGGTGTCGATGAGGTGTCGATGAGGTGTCTCGCCTCCGAACACGTAGACGCGCCACCCGCCGGCGCCGGTGAGCACCGTGGCGGAGCAGTGGCCGGCGCGGGGCCGCGGCACGGAGCCGGAAGTGTGGACCGCGCTCCACGAAAGCTCCTCGACGTGCAGCAGCCAGAGGGACGCCATCGGTGCGTAGCCCGACGGGCCTGCGTGCTGAATGCACCGAGGTCAGGGCGGGAGGACGGTCTTGTGCAGAGTCTTTAGAGCAGCGCGTGAACGCATGCAATGAACACAGCGGAATATACGGTCGAATGCCAGCGGAGTACGTGTCCTCTGCGCGCGAGTTGGAGTGCAAGAGTGCGTGTTCCGCGTCTAGCCCGACGCGCCGGCCCCGCCGATCAGCAGCACGCGCGGGCCGCACGCACACGCAGTGCCGTCGCGGCACGGCGGCGGCACGCCGCCAGACGTGTCTGCGACCTCCCAGCCACGCGCCTGTGAGCACTCCGACGGTGAACTCCTCCCACCAATGCACGGTCGGTGAGAGGGAGAGCATCTCTGACGCCGCGTCGGCCCGCGTCGAGCACGCCTCCGCCAGCCCGCGCAACGGGAGGCTCCAGACGTCCATCTGCAGCGCGCCAGCGGCGGGGGAGTCACCCCCCATCACCCACAAGCGGTCGGCGCAGACGGCGGCCGCATGGGTGCCGCGCGGCGGCGGCGGTGGGCCCGGCAACGACGGAGACGCCCACGCCATGGATTGCCTGATTGAGAACCATTCCCACCACTCATTCATCATTCATGATTAGTGGGACGGCGCACGAGTTGACTCGCACGTGTCGAGGACAGGAGTGTCGCACAGCGAGCCGCGCCCGCGGTGGCCTCCGAAGACGATCGCAAGGCCGCGGTACGCGCACATGGTGTGCCCCCATCGCTGCTCGGGCGCCGCGCCGCCAATGGTCGGCTCGGACCAGACGCCGCTCAGCAAGTCGAGCACACAGATGCTCGCCGCAAGCCGGCCGGAGTTTGCCCGTCCGCCATAGACGAGCAGCCGCGCGCCAACCACCACGCACGCGTGTCTGTACCGCGCCGGCGCGCCCTGCTCCGCCAGCCGCGTCCAGCCCCCGACGGTCAGGCGCCGCAAAGCGCTCGGCGGCGCACCCCCCGGTGGATGTTCCGGCTCGCTGGCCAACGGCGTCGCTGAGGGCGGCGCAACATGCGCCGGGTGCGCCGGGTGCGCCGTGGGCGTCACGGCGCCGTTTGGCACGGGGGGCGGCTCGGTAGAGTTGGGGTGGTTGGCGGCCGCTGGCGGCACGGCTTCGGCACCCGCCGTGCCGTTGGGCGCCGCCGTGTCAGCGCCCGCTTCGCCGCACTCGCCATCCGCCCGTGCCTCGTTTGTGGCCGGAGGGACGAGCTCGAGTGGCGGCCAGCGCCACCATTCGGGGGCGAGCTCCTCGAGCGCGCGCGTGTACCTGTGTCCGGGGGCGGACGCTCCCTCCGCTCTGCACTTGGCAAGGCGTGGGCACTCGGCCGCTGCGTGCGCAGAGGCTGACGCCCACGGATGAGGCCCGCAGGGCGGGCGGAGCGGCGCACATAAACATCGCCTCCATCTTGGAGGTGTTGCCGAGCTGGCACCAGGCCGAGTAGCGCGCCCGCCCCTCCGCATCGAAGAGGCTCGGCCGCGGCGCGTTGCAGGCGCCGTGCTGTGCCTGCTTTGCGAGTGCATCGAGCAGCAGCCGGTCCGACACGTCGATCGCATCGTTGCCGTGCACGAGCTCCTCGCCGTAGCGGAGGGCCAGGTCGAACTTCTCGGGGAAGCCGAGCACGGGGGCGTCGGACGCTCCACTCCCGCGCATGTGTTGGTTGAGGGTAGTGCACACCGTGGTGCACACTGGCTGCCACAGGCGCCCCAGAGTTTGGCAAATCGAGAAACCCTGTTGCCCGGCCCTCTGGGTGTGTGTGTGCGTGTGTGTGTGTGTGTGTGTGTGTGTGTGTGTGTGTGTGTGTGTGTGTGTGTGTGTGTGTGTGTGTGTGTGTGTGTGTGTGTGTGTGTGTGTGTGTGTGTGTGTGTGTGTGTGTGTGTGTGTGTGTGTGTGCTCACACACCGCTGGATGTAGGTATGTTGTTGGCTGTTGGCAAAGAAAGACAGGGAGCTCACACAAAATCACAAGGGGGGGGGGGCGAATCACTTTATAAAAGGGGCCGATTGGGGCTGTGGCCTATCTGTCTGTCCAGAGGGGCAGAGGCCTTTCTTACAAAAGAAAAGTTGTTTGGTATTGCTTTGTGTATTGTAAAATTCTTTCATTATCAATCACGCGCGGTCCCACGCAGTCCTTAGTCCTTAAGAGAGAGAGGTCAGTCAGAGAGAGAGAGAGAGAGAGAGAGAGAGAGAGAGAGAGAGAGAGAGAGAGAGAGAGAGAGAGAGAGAGAGAGAGACTATTCTTTCATCTTTCTTGAGGTCAGTCCTTGAGTGAGCCAGAATGCATTATGCAGAATCTTATGTATGTATGTACAAAGAGAGAGGACTCGAGATTTGGGGAGGGCGCGAGTGGGAGACTTTTCGGCGGTCGAAATACGTTTTGAAGGAGGGAACGACTCCGCCGAGTCGACAAAACACCTGGCAACCCTGTCTGCACGTCTCGCGCGCGCGTGAACAGGGCAACAGTCTCCAGGGGCTCCAGGCCCCAAATGATGTGTGAGTGTTAGAGTTGTTTGGTATTGCGAAAAATCTCTCTCCGAGTCGGGGATTGAGATGGCACAATCCATCACCGCAGAAGTGTGACACTCCAGAGCGATGCGAACGCCAACGGAAAGGATATCAATCCACTGCTCACCATCCGGATGCTTCCCGAAGAACTTGCGCAGCTGCTCTTGGCGAGCTTGCGTACCGGAGGGTTGCGTAGGTCGACCTTCTCAAACGTGCAGACAGAGAGGGAGGTGAGGCCACCTCGATCGCCAAACCACACTTCAATGTGGCCCGCGGCTAGGTTGGGGCGGGAGTCCGGCTCAAGCATCGCCGTGAAGCCCACAACGGCCGTCGTGTGCTCGTGTGAGGCCTGGAATCGCGGTCACAAAATTTCGCAGTCGGCGTGCGCTTGTTCACAGCTAGAGGACCGAGAAACACATTCTGATAATCCAGCCTGCGCTTCTTAGCTCCCCGGCCCTGGGTGTGAGGCTGATGACTGCTCCAGTGCTCCAAGTGCTCGTCGAGTAGTATCGTTTTAGGTATGTTGTTGGCAAAGCAAGACACAGAGCTCACACCAAATCACAGTGGGTGGAAAGCGAACGAGTCACTTAACAGGGGTCGATTGGGGCCTGGCCACCCTGTCCAGAGGCAGAGGTGCCTTTCGTTATCACGCGCGGTCCCACACAGTCCTTGAGAGAGAGAGGTCAGAGAGAGAGACTCTTCTTGAGGTCAGTCCTTGTACCTTGAGCCAATCTGATGTATGCGTTTTGAAGGAGGGATGCCAAACAAATGCCCCCGCCGCGAGGGTGGCGAAGAAATGGCCAAACATCGTTGTGAGCTGTCAGCTGTGATGGCCACCGCTCAGAAAGCCATAGGCACGGTCGGGATCGTCCTTCCTGGCCTCCATCGGCAGAGGGCAGAGGCGAGGGCGAATCCGGGCGCGGCCAACCCCCGCGCGTCCGCGGATGGAGAGACAGCGGATGGAGAGACAAAAATCAAAATAAGAACACAACGCATTCTCTCACATGACAAGCGATCCCATGACAGCGTCTGTGGGGACTACAACATGCACAACAACATGACATGTACATGTGCATGTGCATGCACATGACATGTGCATGTGCATGTGCATGTGCATGCACATGCACATGCACATGTGACATGATCCGTACATGAAGGGTGGAGGGGCCGTCCGCGGAACTAGGCGGCACGGGCACCCTCCACGCTGTGGCCGAGCGTTAGAAGCCGTTTGCCTCTTGCTTGTTCTTGACCCAATTGACACGCTCTGGGGAGTTGATTGACCCAGTTGGTACCACGCATCTTGCGCGCCTGCTTGTTGATGTTGTCGGCGTCGCCCGCCACCGCCGCTTAGGTTAGGTTAGGTAGGAAGGTGAATGAAGAACAGCCAGGCTCGGACTGGACACCAACGCGGTATGGGTGGACGCGACCGCCGCCATGGTCCCATGGAGATCTGCTGCGTGTGGTGGATGGACGACAAAGGAGGAGGCGCTCGCCGACGCCGCCCCATACACCGTCCAGTCCGTGTTTGTTAGTGCTCACCGCTTCCTTGAAGGGGGGGGGGGGGTCCTCCATCCATCCACGCGCAAACGGGTTTCTCCAAAGTTAGGTTGAAAACTCTCCTCTCAAGAGACGCTGTCACGCCTCGTGCTGCCCCGGTCGCTTTGCTGGCCGTCGTAAAAGATGCCATCCATCAGGCATTCGACGCTCCACATCGGCAACTGGGCGATGACCTGGCTGCAGGCCTTCCTCACTGCCGTCTCGCACAACCGGCCTTTCCATCGCCCGCTCGGCCGGCACGAATCGCAGGTCGCCGGCGCCAGCTTCCTGCGATGCCTGCCCGGTGTGGGCTCGCCATTTGACACGCCAAGGGAGGCGGCTATGCCACGCGTGCCGTCAGCGCGCCTGATGTCGACAAACGTATTGAGTGGCAGCGGCTGCTGCGAGTCGGATCAACAATACCGCAGTTTACTGCGGATGCAAAAAATCGGTGCGTGGGCCATGCAGCGTGCGCTCGAGTGCTACAACCGCACCCGTGTGCCTGCGGCTGCGCAGGCGGCGATCCTTCACTTTCGCTGCTCGGACGCGCCCTTCAGCCGCCACACGGCCTACCACTTTTTGCGCTACTCGGGCTGGCGGCTGCAGATTGACCGCCTGCTCGCCGCGGGCAAGCTGCAGGCGGGTGATGCGCTGCACGTGGTCGGCTGCTTTCACCACGAGTCGGAGACGTTTTGGGAGGCGGCGTACGCAACGCGCTTCTCGGTCGAGGCCCAGTGCCGCGCATACGCGGAGCACCTCGTGCGCCACCTCGCAAACTCGACTCCGCTCGCGCCCTCGCTGCACGAATGCGAGCACGGCATGGTGGACGAGTTTGTCGCGATGCTGCGCGCACCGGCGGTCCTCTCCGCCGCCAGCTCGATGTCCTTCGTCGCAGGCTACTTTGGCCGTGCGGGCACCTCGGGCGCCTTCCAAGCGGCCAGCCTTCTGGTCGAGGCGAGGAGCGGGCTGGCCGCAACCTCGAGCTGCAAGAACAAGCCGACCTGCCCCGAGGCTGCCACGGCCCTGTCGGGGCCGGCCGGGCAGCTTCCGCCTAAGTGGTGCTTGTCTTGCGACAGGGCCCCGTGGCTGGTGCCCTCCTCCCACCTGCTCACCCACGCCGAGGTGCCCGACTACCTCGACACCGCTCACGTCCTCGCCCTCCTCGACCCGCCCGCCCCCGCCGGCGCAGCGCCGTCGGCTGGGCACGCGGCAGCAGCGTCGGCAGCAGCTGAGCGCCCGAGCTCTTGCGCCGCTCGGCCGGCCTCGAGCGTCTCGGGCGTCGTGGTGACCAGCGCCGGCGGCGCGGGCACCACCTCCCTCCTGCTCGCCCTCCGGCTCGCCGGGCTGCCGACCAACACAGTCGACGGGAGTGACGGCCTCAAGCACATGCGCGCGGCGAGGAGCGGGGTCCGCCTACGCCGCGCGCCGCTCCCTCTCGGCACGCGGCCGCTGCTCCTCTTTCTGTACGACGACCCGGTCCGCGCCACTCTCTCCTTTGCGCGCCGCGGCTGGGCCAACTTCCAGGCCTTTCGCCTCGAGGCGGGCGGCGCCCGGTTTCCAAAGCCGCTGCAGAACCACCGCTGCGTCGCCGCCGCGAAGCGTGAGTTCATCGACGACCAGAGGCGGCGGCGCGAGGCGGAGCCGTGGACTCTTCGCCTCTCCATTCCGATGAGAAGTCATGATTCATAGGCGGCGCGAGGCGGAGCTGGCTGCCGCCTTGCACCCGGGCGGGGCGGCGGCCTCGCCGCCCCCGCCGTCGCCCCGGAGGAGGGGAGGCGGTGCGACGCGGTGCGAACTACTCGACGGTGCTGTAGCCTTCCACGAACCGTCCACGAGCCTTCTCTGAACTCTCCTATAGGTCCACCTCCGCCGGCAGCGAGAGCGGGCGCGGCAGCTCGGAGGCGGGCGAGGCTTCCCTGAGCCTCGGAGGCCATTTCGTAGGCAACGAGAGCGTGCGCAGCTGCTCAGAGACAGTGGCGCTGCGCGGGCTCAGCTCGCCGGGCGCGGCGGAGGATTGGATCGGGCTCGAGCGCCACTGGGACGAGTGGGTGGCGGCGGCGTGCGCGGGCCGGCTGCGCGGCAGCGGAGGAGGGCCGCCGCTCGGCGCCGTCTTTGCGCGGAGCAGCTCGTTGTGGGCGCGCGCGGCGGAGCTCGAGGCGCTGGTTGGTTGCACGGCCGGCACCCTGCCGCCGGGTTTGCGGCGTCCGCGGGCGGCGCCTCCCTTCCCGGTGGGCGACGGCAGCGCGGCATCACTCGCCGCCGTCGCCGCGCTCAACGCCACGTTCGCCTCGCTCCGAGGCAAGCAGGCGGCGCTGGGCGACATCGTGCTTCTCGGCCCGGGGAATGCGTCGGCGGCGGCCTGCCGCGCCGCGCTCGCAGGAGCCGGGGCGCCACCGCCACAGCGCCGCCTCGCGCCGCCGCAACCGGCCGCCGCTCGACGTTTGCGCAGCGCGTCGCCCAGCCCGCCGCCCTCGCCCGGCCCGCACGCCACCGGCCAGCTCGAGGGGCGCGGCGCCGTCTGTTTGGTTGGGTTCCTCCGGACGTTTGCTTCGCCGCCCGTGTACGTGGGCATCGCCAGGGCCGCACGCGCGCTGGGCGACGTCGATGTCTTTGCGGTCGTCGCCAATGGGGCCGGCGACACCGCCAAAGGGCAGGCCGGGGCGGTGCCATCCGAGCAGGTTGCCGCGGCGCGGGCGCACTTGCAGCCCAGGGAGTGGGTCACTGCGCAGCCAGAGATGGCTCTGCCAGCCGCGTGCCCTAACTGCCTCGGCCAGCTGGCCAAGTTTGAGCAGTGCATGGCGCTCGTGCGGTCGGCGGAGCGTCGGGACGGCGGCCGCTACACGTGGGTGGTCAAGATGCGGCCGGATTGCGTCCCCTGTGGCGACGTGCCGCCCGTCGCCAGCTTGCGGCGGCCCGCAGACAACGTGGCGCTCGCCGCGGGCGGCGACTTGTTTGTGCTCTACCCACGCCCACTGGCGGAGGCCGTCGCGAGCGGCTGGCGGCGGGTGGACTGCCGGCGGCACCACCGTGTGTTTGGCGGCAACCTTACGGGGTGCAACCACGTCGCAGAGGCGGCGCTCCGCGCCGCCGGAGGGCAGTCGCGGACCACGGGCCAGTTTGACTGCGACATTGTGCGCACCGCGGAGGGAGCCCGCTCCATGTTTCAGTTTGGAAAGTACGCCCTCCACGGCGCGCTGTGGGGCGACGTGGAGGGGTGGACGCCCAACCGGACCCTGTACAAGGGATCCGGCGTCGTCGCGGCGACGGCTACGCGCTTCTGCGGCAGGGAGTGGGGCGGGAGGTACGTGTCAGCCCGCAGTACATTCACATAGGTTAGGTGCAGGTTGGTACGGCGCGCTAGGTCTAGCACGCAATCCCCGAAACCACAATTAAAGGAACCCACAAAAAGGGATTGGGCGGGGTTGTAATGGGATATTTTTTGCGGGGCTGGGCGGGGGAGAGGGGCGGGGGGAGCTGTGTGAATGCTTAAAGTCCCTTTGTGGCCTGGCGGCGACCGGCGTGCCGTGCCCATCCCTCCCCATGGCTGGTGTGTAACTTCACCCTTTCTTTCACGGGACTGGCGCGCATGATATCCTCCTTTCTTGTTTGGCCGCACTGCATAACTGTGTGGCACTAACAGAGAAAGTGCCAGACCGCCACGGCCAGGACGGCCGCGGCTAAATCACGATAGGTGAACACGACTTGTCTTCATCGGTAGAGCACACACACACACACACACACACACACACACACACACACACACACACACACACACACACACACACACACACACACACACACACACACACACGGCTCTGCCCTCACCTTCACAGCCTTGGTGTTATTGAGAAGAAAATACCTCCTATGGCGCTGTGCGCTGGTCTGTGAGAGGTTGAGGTGCGAGCCCTGGAGGCCCTGGGGATGGTTCACACACACACACACACACACACACACACACACACACACACACACACACACACACACACACACACACACACACACACACACACACACACACACACACACACACACACACACACACACACACACACACACACTTACACACACACACACACACACACACTGTCACACACACACACACCGCACACACACACCGCACACACACACCGCACCCACACACACAACCACTCACAAGGAAAACACAAACACACGTGTGTTAGATTTGTTTGGTATTGAGCTAACAATCTCGAAATCAAATCTCTATGTCTTCTGATAAACGCAGTATGGACTCTATCTCTCTCACACAAGCAAAGAACCCTACACAAAGATCGCAAGGGCGGGGACCTGTTCCTTTTAGCTTTTTTTCCCATTCGCCATTCTCGCACAGTAGAGGTGTCCGTTTTTATTTATTTACACAAGCAAAAAAGTGACTACACGTTGTCCACGCATTTCTCTTATTTAATCGCAGCTCTCTAAATCTCCCTCTCTCCATTGGCCGTGCCCGTGGGCGACGGCCGGCCGTGCTGCAGGATACAGGCGGCTCGTGCCCTCAGCTGAACGAGATTTGGCAGCGAACGGCGCCGCACGGGATGCGGTGGCGCCGGCGACCGGCCTGCTGCCGCAGTTGGGGCGGCCCTCGGGCTCCCGTTCTCGGAGCGCTGGCTGGAGAACTGCGGTGCCGCGCTGAGGGTCACGCGCTCGTTGGAAGAGCGCGCCGTGGCAGCCAGGATGGCGGCGCTAGTCGCCGGCGCGGAGTCGCGCCTTGATGCCGGCGCCGCCGAGCCAAACACGTCGAAGCACCTCACGACCTGACCGCTTCGCACTGCGAGCAGGCCGGCCGTCTCCGCGTCTAGCGTGTTGATACGATCGAGGAGGTCGACACCGTTCGCGTTGCCGCGGAAGGACACCTCCATATCGCGCGCAACCTCGTCCGACGCTACGATGAAGCAGGCGACGCATAGGACGGGAAGCGGCGTGTAGAGGCCAAGGGCGGGCAGGAACTCGAGCGGCAGCATTAGCATGTAGATGACGGCGAGCCCGACCATGTAGTAGTGAAAGAGCGTAGGCACTCGCGGTGGCGCGTGCAGGGACTCGATCGCCTCAAAGTCTCGAGAGAGCTGCGTGACTTGTGCGTCCACGGCGAGTGCATAGTGGACCATTTGAAACCTGCCGCCGCGACGCTGAATCTCAGTGAGCACCTCGCGCATCCAAAAGACGACCAAGGTGAGGCGCGTCCTCTCGGGGAAGGCCTCGCGGACGCCGCCAGCGCCACGTCGGATCATCTTTGAGTCTCGGAGCTGGCGCAACTCGCTCGGCGTGATAAGGCCAATTTGCAAGTAGCGTTCGAGCTGCGATACCTCCGTGGCGGCGTCGCCATCTCGGGTCGCGACATGGGATACCATCAGGGCCGTCGCGAGCACGAGTAGGCGGCGCAAGTCTACGAGCATCCGGATCGTTGCTCGGTCATCGTTCCCGATATACCCGCAGAGCTGGCTTACCAATACGCGAGCAGTCGTGGTGAGCCGGAAAACTACCGCCCGCCCCTCATTCCACTTCTGGAGGGCAAGGGCCAGCCGGCTCGAGACGAGGTAGCCGAGGATTAACGTGGCCACCGAGAGGAGGAGAGACTGCAGCTGGCGCGAGTCGGAGTACTCGCTCTCGAGGAAGTCCAACAATTCCGCCTCGGAATTGCCGCCCGCGTGGCAGCGCTCCGCCCATCCTGGCAGCGCGAGTAGGAGCTCGAAGCCTGCATCGCATCGGATGTGATGCAACGACGTCCAAAAGACACCCGATGGCAATCCCAAGAGCAGTGCGCGGCAGGCAACGCGAGCGAAGAGCCGCTTGTGGTGAGACTTTGTCTTTGATTGCGGGGCAGGACGAGGCTTGGCGTCGTCGCTGTTGTAGTTGCCGCCGGCCACGTCCCTGCTGGCTGATGTCAGGCGGCGGAGGGAGCGCGAGGACAGGAGGTGTACGGGCAACGAAGTCTGCGAGCTGGTATGGTGGCCGCTCAGAATGTGGCGCCGGCGGTCGGCCACCTGAGACGTCTCGAACCCAGCAGCTTGGCCAGCAAAGCGCACCCGAGACGTCTCGGACGCCGCCCGGTTTCCAAGCGACAGGCGCGGGAGTGGCCGAAAGATGGAGGCGGGGGATAACCGGAGGCGGCCGGGGCTGCGGCCTGGGCTGCGGTCGCGGCAGCTGGGACTGTTTTGGGCGGTAGCGAGGCCCCGGAACCAGCTCTCGGATGCATTCTCAGATTCGTCGCTGAGGCGCTCGACGCCGTATGAGGTCGCCGGCGGCCGCACCTTTGCCGCCGTCGCTCCGCCGGCTCTAACCGAGTATCGGGCGTTGAGGGCGGCGGCGCAAAGCGGGTCTGGTGCGCCACGGCCACCACCCTTGCCACCGCCCTTGCCGCCGCCCTTGCCACCCTTTGCCGCCTTGCCTCCGCCGCGGGCGGCGGTGGGAGCGGCCTGCTGGGCTAGCATGTTGTCCTTGCTGGGGACGGGCACGTGGAACGCACGTTACATGTCGAACGGCCTCCGGGATTCAAACAAAAAATAGCCGGGGCCCTCTCGCAACCCCTCCGACCCCCCGGGACCCGTGGGCGTCGAAGAGGCGCTCTCGGGGGGCCGTTCTGAGTTCATGCTACCACGAAGCACACTGTGCTGCGTCAAAGCACCGGCCCCGAGTCCGTCCTCATCGCAAACACTGTCAGCAGAGTCCTCCCACGGGAATGTACGTAAGAGCTATATACACTGAGAGAGAGAGAGACTCTCACGCCGCGTGTAGGGCCCTTAGGGGCCTAGAGAACACAACCCCCTCTCTCTTTTCTCCCAGTAAGCTATAAGTACGTACACTGAAAATTGAAGATAGCCAAAAGAATCTAGACGCGTTTATCGGCGAGGCTCTTGCCGGCCGCTGTTGCCAGCCCTTGGCCCTGCCCTAGATTCACATGAGCCGGCGCAGTGCCGTCGCGTCCGGCGCGCTGCTGCTGCTTGTTCTCTGGCTCGCCGTGGCGCGATTAGGCCTGGCGGCGCACGACGTGCTGCTCGTGTATGCTGTGGGCGGCTTCGCGTGGCGGCAGCAGGAGCGCGGCTCCACAAGCGTATTGCTGGGCGAGGATGCGCACGCGCCACCGCCCGTGCGGTGGGCCGACTTCCTGCGAGACAACCACCAGCTGCTGGGATGCGTCGTTCGCGGCAATGGCCGCACGCGCACTGAGCGGATCCTCGCCGTCGCCGTCTCTACGCTAGCGCTGCTGTACTGGAAGGCGGTGTTCCGGACGCCCAAGGTGTCGATGGGCTCCTGGCAGGGGCTGCGCTCCTCGCTGTGGACGCTCGTCGTGTCCAAGGGCATGCAGCTGCTGATGAAGCGCGTGATTCGCTTTGTCGCCGCGCGGCAGGCGGCTTGGCAGGCGAGCGCCGGGCTGCTCGAGAGCCTGCAGATGTCGTGGACGATCCTCCAGTACTGGGTGATCGGGTTCATGGTGCTCTGCGTCCTCCTCTTCCTGCGGGAGGGGTTCGCGTGGTGGGGGATGCTCTCGGGCTGGATCATCAACCTCAGCTTCTCGCTGTTGCTGATGGACCTCGTCTTCTGCTACATAAGGTTTAACCTGTGGACCACTCTGCTGCCTCTCCAGGCGCGACTCACTGGGGTCGCCCGCTACAGAAGCGCTTGAAGCGCCTATGGTGTCCTGTGTCGGACGCGTACGAACCCGTCATAGTGTGCGAGCTGTCCTGCGACCCTCCAGTCGGTGTGCGGTCGCGGGGTCGGGTTGCTATTTCGGACACCTCAGTTTCCGTGTACTGAACTCTGAAGAGAGGGAAATTGACAGGAAGTAAGAGAGTGGGCCTGCCTAGCCGCACACACGTCGGCACCTGCAGTCGGCACCCACCACCTGCGACGACTAGCCACCTCGTGAGAGCTCTCTGAGTCTCTCCCGCCGTCTCCGCGGGCTGGTTTTTGACTTAGGGGATCCCTAGGGTTCTGAGGGCCGGATTTTTTTAAGAGCTTTTAAGAAATGAGGAGGTTTGGGGGCTTAAATTGCCATTTAAGAGATTGCAGGCACCGGGGGGTCCCTCTTTTAAGACCGTTTAAGAAAATCGGCCTCTCTAGCATGCGTCGCTGGGTTACTGCCGTTTTCTCCAATACTGCCGTTATTAGGCACAAACCCGCCTCTGAAGACACATCTGTAAGTCTGGTGCCCTGGCAGGAGCCATACTCGCATACAGGGGACGCGACACGCGTGCTAGCTGACTGTAGCCAGCTTCCCGGCCTCCGGCGTCTACCGGGGGAGCCTCCCGGACCATCGACCGCTCGGGAGCTCTCCCGCGCCGTTCAAGCGTTTAACCCCTAAACGGCTGTGGTTCCCATATGGGAACTTCGCCAAATTCTGTGAAAGAGAATTTTACTATACAAGCCCCTCTCACAGCAGACTGGCTCGGACTGGCACTACAAATGGCACAGCGCACAGAAGCTTTTGCGGCTGGTCGCAGCGACGGCCGATCCAGCAGTCGTCTGCGACATGGCAGTGGCCCCGAGTCATGTGCAGCTGGTCCCGAGCGGCTCAGGTCCCAGATCGAATCTCGGACCCACAGATTCTAGATTCCTTTAGAATCCCTGGATTCCCGCAACAACGATCTCTTAGCGGCGGCAAACAGAGGCGCAACTCTGCCAGCAGCGAGGAGGCTCCTGCTGCTCAGCTACCGAGGCCTGGTGGCGTCGGCTGCTGCGTGGAGAAGACAGCAGCACTGTCCGACCTCAAAACATGCACAACAAGCGGGATTTGTGACTCTGTCCTCGATTCTTCAGTCGCTCTGCCGGACGCGCTCGCTTTGTCGCGAGGGTCACCAGTGCAAGCCGTGTGGACGCCCAGAATAGCCTCCCCTGGCTTAGCTAGAGTGAGAGATATTGTGCACGTGGTCAGCCTCTACAATATGTACACTGACACTTTACCTCCCAGAGCTCGTCTCGGTCCGCCACGGCCATCCTCGGCCTCCGGAGGGCCCCCGGCCGCGGCGCGGTGCGGCGGCGTCACAAATCCGACGTCAGTTCACCGGGACGCGATCGGGCGATCTGAAGTCCAACTAGGCGTATGGATTGACCGCCCAGGGCTATCACCTGGCCCCTCAATGGACGCCTGCGGTGCCGCCCCCACGAGGTGTTGTTCACACCTGTCCAACCATTCGTGCAGCAGGAACGCGCTGTGTGTGGCTGGCAGCAAACTCAAATGACGACGGGTTGCAGCCTCGTAGCTCAACGGCAACATTGTGCATGAGGAAGGCTGATAGAAGTATCATCAGCCACACAACCAACAGCTTCTGGAGAGTATGCGGAGCGCAAGCAGCCGGTGATCAAAGGCGTGTTGCTGTCGGTGGCAGATTGCCAGAGGGACGCCGGCGCCTCGGTGCGTGGCTTCGTCACAATTTTCCACCGCTCAACTTGGAGGCAGTGTGTCTAGTAGCGTGCTACACCTATGACGGCGGACCTCACTGGGGCGCCGACGTGCGACGACCGTCTGGGATCGAAAGACGAAACCGCGTCCCAGGAGCTCGTGCAGAGCGCGCTCCGGAGCTCGGTGGCGGGAAATTTGAAGGGAACGTGGTGGCTTCCCACCGCCTCTGTATGTGCCCAATAAAGTGCTAACACGACCCTCGGGCAGCAGGGGGTATGTGGCGAGCGCACGGAGGCACAGTTAGGCCGCCGTGATATCGCCCTTCCGGGCACCCCGTTTCGGTAGCCGTTTAGGGGTTAAGACCGTTTAAGGAATCGGCGGCCCAGGCAGCCTTAAAATGGGCCATGGCCCGCCTTAAAGCGTTTAAGCCGCAGGCGCCCCAGGGCCCACCCTTTTAAGCCTAGGGGTCCCCTAAGTGACTGACGGACATTTTATTTTTAGATTTTTCTTCCGGTTCCGCGCTGACTCTTCCCCTCCAGTGACTAAGAGAAAAATCGGTGCGTCGTGTGAGTGTTTTGAAAAAGTAAACAAACATCGTGGCGCGACGGGTGGACGCGTGTGGGATCGCTGTGCGCTTTGCCCTATCCTTTATTAACATTCTGATCTCGAGAGCATAAACTTCTACTGCCCTGAGTGTCCACGCACCTATCTGAAGAGATTCAGGCGAGCAGGAGTCGAACCGCGACAAAGAGCGCCCCTCGCTCGCCGGTGTCCTCGACGGTGACCAGATAGAGAGGAATGGACTCAACGAGCGGTGAAAGGCGCCCCTTGTCCTTGTACGTGCTCTGGAACGCATCCGACTTGACCCAGTCAGGATTCTTTGCCGCGATGCCGCCGGAGATGTAGAGCCCGCCGTAAGGAAGCCACTTGAGCGCGGCAACGCCAAGCTCGGAGCCGTAGTTGACACAGAAGATGTCGATTGCCTTCTTGCAAACGAGGTCGCCCTCCTTCGCGCCTTTGACGATGATCCGTGCCTGGTCGTACTCTGGAGTGCTGGTGATTTCGTCGTCAATTTTCTTGTTCTTCAGCTCGATAAAGGCCCAGTGCTGGCGAAGGAACTGGTAGATATTTACTATGCCCGGGCCTGAAACCACGCGCTCGACCGAGACGCGCCGTCCGCCGGTGACCTTCTTGAGGTACTCAAGAAAGTCCACGCCCAGCTGGTCGCGTGGCGAAAACTCGGCGTGCCCACCCTCGCTCGGGAAGCAGGTATATTTGCCAGAGACCTTGTCGCACGTCAAGAAGCACTCGCCCAGCCCCGTGCCGGCACCCACGCACGCGATGGGCGCACCGGGGCGCTTCACACCGCCATTCAGCTTCACCAGCTCATCGTCGTGCAGTGTGAGCAGCCCGTAGCCCTGGGCCTCAAAGTCGTTGATCAGTGTCACTCGCTTGATGCCGAGCTCCTTTGCGAGCTCGCCGCCGTCAATCTTCCAGCCGGTCGACACGTTGGTGAAGTCAACGGTGTTGTTGAGGATGCCGCCCGCGCACGCGAGGCAGCACACCAACGGCTTGCCCGCCCCCGCCTGCTCAAGGAACAACTTGCAGATGTCGACAAAGCCTTGCCCCTTGGAGTGGAACTCAGCGTTGGGGTACTTCTTCGAGAAGACCTGCTCACCTATTGGGTAGCAGGCAGGGCAATGGCCTGCAATCTGCCGGCGACCAACTGGCGGTGCACGCCGTGGCACGGGGGATGTGCTGGCCTGGGGGCTTGACGCCAAGCTCGAGCACCGTCCCGGCTGGAACCTTAAAGAGCGTCAGTCGCGAGTTGGTCCCGCCACAATCGCCGCTCATAATCAGGCCACCATCCACCATGGTCGAGAGAGGGTCGAGTTGAGAAGCCGGCCCCGAGAACGCACGTCGGCGGCAGTTCCTATTGACTTTGTGGCGGTCATCACTCTGGTGCCGGGGATGTGCCCTTCGATCTTCCCAGGCACATGGTCCATGATGTGACGCCAGCAATACACGGCGATGAGGCGCCATCAAGGACGGTCGTGAGCAGAGACAGAGAGACCATTTTCATGTCTTCTTTCGCAAGTCGCATGCATGCCGTCCGCCCTGCCAGGAACGCGACGATCCTCCACACAGCCGGCGCACAGGGACCTACGCTACCCGACATGTCTAGCACCGAGAGCCCGGAGAGGTGCACACGTCGAGGTGCACACACTTGTGCACACGCGCTGGCCGCGCTCTGGCCTCTGCGCGCTGAGCGCTCTTGGTCTTGCGACGCATGCGAGGGGAAAAAGAGAGACGGTGTTTCGAGTCGTACCCCGAGGCAGCACCTCTTTAAGGTTCTTCGGGCCAGTTGGGGGGGGCAAACCCTGCCCGGCCCCTAGGACCCCAGGTAAGGCCCAGGTGTGGCCTAGGGCATCAGAAGGGACCAAGAGGAGTCCAGTCTGAGCCATAGAGCCCATGTCTTTGCCCCCGAAGGTCGCGTTCAAATGCCCGGAACGGACGTTACAGTGGTGTCCGGCCGGCGCGATCACCGAGCTGTGACGCTCAGGGAAGTCCGATGAGGTGCTGGTTTCTTTGCCCAGGGCTGGCCTTCCCCCCAGGCTGGATCAGCTGAGCAAGGTTTGGGGAGAATCCCCCGGTCAGATCTTCAGATATTTTGACGGATGACCGAAAATGGGCAAAAACGGGTGATTTTGTCATCCGTCAAAA